TATCTCAATTTCAATTTCAAAACAAAGCATCATTTTAACATTTTATCTTTGAAAAATGTTAAAATGATGCTTTGAAAAAGTCTCTTATAGAAACTTTGAAAAAAAGTATAATTAAAAAAAAGTTAAAATGGTGCTTTGTTTTGAAATTAAGATTTCTTGCTTCTGAAAAAAAAATGAAAAGTGAAATAATTTTTTTAAAATTCATTTTTGCCCCAACCACTTGACCCGCTAACTTTACATACCTATTAAAAATTATTTATTAATTTAACATTCAAATATTTTTTTATTTATAAGTATTTCTTTTGCATTCCATTCAGACGTAAAATACTTATAACTTTTTTAAATAAAAAACCTTTCTAAAAATATCAAGTCATAAATTTTTTTGTTTTTTTAAAGCCCATCCAAATAGGTTTTAACATGTTATCAAAAAAAAAAAAAAATAGGTTTTAACATAGGCCAACTCAACTTAGCTCAACCCTTACATGAAAGAGAGAAGTTATTATCAATTTAGAAAGACATATTTTAAATAAATTGAAGATATAAATAAAATAATGCTATATCTCAGTAATTTTTTATAACTTTTTAATTACTTAAAATAATAGATAATAAATTTTAAAATAAGATTTTTTGAAACTTAAGATGTATAAAATATATTTGCTTTAAATAATTTACAAACTTACATAGAAGTTGTAGATTTTTCTTTTACCTTTTACTAAAATCACATAAATCCAATGAGTACAATTCAAGGTGGTGCACAAACTTGCCATACGGGTGTTGAAGTGTGCAGATTGCACACCTAAGCCCTCAAAGCGCCAAAATATGGCTGCCAAGTGCCTTGTCATTCAAATTGCATGGCTACACAACCAAAATATTAAAAAATTCTTTTGTTTGCATGCATAGGCATGTATATAATGCATGCCTAAGTATGCAAGATGAGCGCTAGCTTGAGCTCCGGGCTCATTAAAACAAGGCCTGTTTACTAAAGACCCGGGGGATTTATTGTTCCCCTATAAATAAGATTTGTTATCTAAGGTTAAGGATAGCTGGATTGCAAAATTACTCCCTGAAAAGCTTGAGAGAAGGGTAACTCTTACTTTGGTATTATAAACAACAAAACAAGTTTTTGTCACTAACGCAATCGCCGCCTTGTGCTTTTTGTTAAAAAAATCAAACCTAAAAAATATTGAAATACATTCATGTGGTTTGGGTTTGAATGGTTCGTGGAAAACAAACCTCATGAAGAGAGATGGTTTCTAGCTACCATGATCGAGCTGTGGGGTAACTCACAATCTTCATCACAAAATATTTTATTATTCATTCAAACCAAAACTCTTAAATTTTATACCTTAATTTCTAAATTTGGGGAATAGATGGAGATTTGTATATGATTTCAATTAAATTCAAGACTAAAATTTTACTTTCATTTCTATTGACCATAGTTTTAATTTTATTTCAAATTGAACACGCGAAATCTCCATGTAAATCCAAAGTCCAATCCAATAGGCCATCCTTTAAGACCCATATAATTAAGGGGTCATTCCCCTACACACTTAAAGTGAAACTTTTAGAATCTCATTCTATAGGATTTCACTCCATGCACTAGCACAACTCACACCTCATATTTATGTGAGTGTGCTTGCCTCATACATAGTAGAGCTCATTATAACTAAACAATTACGACTCATTATTGATGAATTTTCTCCATCTATAAACATCCCTTCAATTATTGAAGATGCACCTTCTACACATTATTTAGAGATGTTGTTACTCTGCACAAATACACTCAATGCCATTGTACCCTTATACAGATTTCTCCTTTGCTCTCAGGGCCTCACGTGAGATCACATCCGCGGTAATTCTCCATAGAGCCTTTGGTATCTATCATTACCTCTTAGATCATTTTTATATTGAAACAAATTTAATCTCACTTCATTAACAGTTCAGATGAATTGGATTTAAAGAATTAGTATTAAAATTAAAAAAATATTTAGAATGTAAATAAATTAAATAATTGAAACCAAACTAAAACTTTGTTAAAACGTTATAGACGTACAAATTTAGGCATTTTTTCAATTATATATATATATATATATATATATATATATATATATATATATATATAAATGGGTCAGGATCATTTTACATCAGTATAAATTATACTCTCAAAATTGACCGTTGATCCTGTTTACATCTAAGGGTTCAAAATTTTTAGTAATGTGAGTCATTGGATACAAGTAGATCAATGGTCAAGATTGAGTGTAAGACTTCTAACTCTTATACCAGTGTAAGAATATCCTACCCCTATATATATATATATATATATACTATTAAATGTAGTTATATACATACTTACGTATATATTGTATACTATCACAAATCCAACCCTAACTAAATCTTAAAAATTTCCTTTTTAATAGTTGATTGCACAACGTGATTTTAGTAACATTAGTTACAAGAAAAATTACTGCTGGGACTTGCTAGAAAAGATTGTATCTTGGCAAACGTGATACATTTTTTTTAACATAACAAGATGCTCAGATTTATGTGATGTCAAAATTAAAGCAGATGTGTCTAGGTCATTCATGTCACCATCAAAATAATTAAAATAACTTATTTATTCTTCTAATTTCTTGGACGAATCTGTAGTTGTGCTTGTGTGCGTGTTACTCGATATGAATTTTAATACTTCAAGACCGTAACAAGATATGAATTTTTTGGACAAATCAGTATTTGTGTGCGTCTTTAATCCAATCCATTGGTTGCAAAAAAAATTCTACAATCTCTTAGATCATCAATGATCATAATATTAAAGTTAAACGTGTTTTTGTCTTCACCTTTTTCGTCCGTTAAAACTGCATGTTTTGATAATTATACGGGTTTGATTGTCATTTTAAATGACATAAGTTATGTCATTTTAGAAGATAGATAGACACAGAAAAACAAAAATCACGGGAGATAGAAAGTATGTGGTTTTTTTTTAATTTAAAATTCAAATTTTCTGTGTCTGTATCTCTCTTAAAATGACATAACTTTCTGTCATTTAAAATGACTAACACTTTTCCCTAATTATACATGTTGTAATAAAAATGTGTCCTACCACAGGATATTTACATTCAATTAAATCTCATGTAGGCGCCACCGGTCACCGGATACTCACTCGCTTTTCCCATGATTCATATCCAAAGTAGTGGGAATATGGGTCCAGGCCAGGGTATACTCATATTCACCCTTTGCAATGGCAATATACATTACACAAAAGGCGCGTAGCCTTTTTCTATTAAAACAATAATGGGTTCATGCACTCGAACATAATATCAATATATGATATGGCTTTTTCAATATTATTGGTTCTTCAAAAATTAAGCTGACGTAATTTGTGAGCTGTATCATCACGAATTTTAATTTGTTTTTGTTTTGAAAAAAATTAAAGAAACCCTTATCAGTACATTACTGTTCAACATACACGGAAAAAAATCATCATTATCTTTATCTTCTTTTAAACTTTTATGTTTTTGGGGTCTAACACAGGTCACCGAGCTTTTCCTGCTAACACTTTAATATGTAATTTCAATCCAAAATCTTAAGGCGTTAGGTAGTGACTTTTTTAATGCTTTTATTTTATTTTCTAACATACTTCTATTTCCAAATCTGCGTAGAATCTAACACCAACTTGAAGTCTCGTTGAATTATTGAATTTTTTTATCTGATTTTCATCTATGTCGTACGGTTGGCGCTTGTCCTTACATGCTTTGTTGGATAACTAAGACAACTAAGAAAACACAAAACATAGAATATACTTTTATTTTATCTCAACCCTAAATCACATAGCTTTATATTCCTAGCTTTCTGCGAAGGTGGAGGAGAATATATATATAAATGTTGATATGGATAAGGGATTTGAGCTGTTTGTCAATATGTGTACTTTTTCTTTATTATGGAAATACAATACCTATATGCGAAATATTCACGCGTGTATTGCATGAGGCTAAATGTAACAAACTTCACACGGTGACATTCACTATCTAGCTGAACCCTAAAATTGAGAAGGAGTAGTGTGCATTGCGGCTGATACCTAGGTCATCAAGCAAAGGCCTTTCTTGTTTAAGTAAGAGCATATTCTCCATCATCAAACTGACCTTATTTTGTCCACCGTTCATTCCTCCTTTGTGCCAAAGGAGATGATATCTGAACCGTCAAATGTGATTGTACATTAAAAAGATACCCTATAGCTAGTTAGCTATAGTGCTATTCCGAATTTTACGATAGGAGGAGTATCTCTAAAACTTCTATGGAATCCTGCAAAAAAAAAAAATATGAATGGAAGCAAGTGGGTTCAGTCTCCATATAGTGTAGACTTTCTTCCAGTGCATTACAGTGCACAATGACAAATTTAGCTGTGTATCTAGTTTGAACTTAATTTGGTTCTAGTTGGGTCTTGGAAGTTTTTGAAAATTAAAACCCTTTTATGAAAAAGAAACTCAAAAGAAAGAAAAAACGAATATCTACAACGAAGGTGGCGTGCGGGACCGGGACCCCGGGACCAGGCCAATTATAGGATGTGTGCTATATGTAAAAGAGTTCCTTTTAAAACAAGTTAATGAATAAATGTAGTTGGAATTTTAGTGTCTTTGATTTCTTAGTTATTTCTTGTAGTTTTAGTTATCAAATTACTGTATCAAACAGTGCATGTATATATTGATTAATAATTAATCTATTTGAAGTAACATGTCATTAAGAAGCAAAGGAAATTGGACGGAGCAAGCATATCAAACATTGGAATAATTGGAAGATGGAAGTTACATCATTCTCTGCATTTGAAACTTTTTGGTGGCTGGCTGCCCAATTATCAAAAGGAAAAAAGAAACACGTTTATTAATAATATCGACATAAAGAGTAGTGCAAATTCATTTGCCTGTCGCTAACCATAGCTCACCTTCTTCCTTTTCGTGCACTATAAATAGGTTTGCATTCTTGCATATCTGACTCGTCCAATTTAGAGAGATATTTGAGATAGCTTGAACTGAGAGTTTGTCTTTGTCTGTGACAGAAATTTAGAGAGAGCATTTTCTCGGAGAGTACTATTATATTCAAGAGATGACAATGAACCGCGAGTCTTGGGCTTTTGTCTTCGGCCTTATAGGTAGATACTATGTCCATAGTTGATCATTTTTAATTCTTTCAGTACTAGCGACAATTTGTTCACAAGTGATGATGGATTTTTCTTTTTGTTTTAATAGGCAACATCATCTCCTTCATGGTGTTCCTTTCTCCATTGTAAGCGATCTCTTTCCTCTACCATACTCCTATGTGTAGGCTTTCTATAGTGTTATCCGTTGAAGCAATTTCGTTAACTACTTGAATATTTGCGTGCAGACCAACCTTTTACCAAATCTACAAGAAGAAAACTGCTGCTGGGTTTCAATCACTTCCTTATGTTGTTGCACTTTTCAGTGCAATGCTTTGGATTTACTATGCATTCGTCAAAAGGGAATCTGCACTACTTCTCATCACCATTAACACGTTTGGGATTGTTATAGAATCAATTTATCTTGCAATATTTCTCTTTTACTCCACAAAGAAGGACAGGGTATTTATCCTATAACCCCACGTTCATAATATTTTCCTTTTAACTTTTTTAACTAAAATTAAAACTTTTTTAATTATTATAATAACAACTTTTTTGGGGTTGGGATTATATATAGCTTTCTACCATCAAGCTGCTTCTCTTGCTGAATGTGTTTGGATTTGGAGCCATGCTTCTATCAACTCTTTACCTTTCAAAAGGAGCAAAGCGTCTTGCTATTATAGGATGGATTGCCCTTGTTTTCAACATAGGTGTATTTGCTGCGCCTCTCTTCATTATGGTAAGGTTTTCATAACGGTGTAAAACCTAATCTTATTATCAATCTTTTGCAATTTTTTTTTATACATGAGTCAGTGAAATTAATTTTTTATGATTAATATATGCAGAGTAAAGTCATAAAGACGAGGAGTGTGGAATACATGCCGTTTAATTTGTCCCTCTTTTTAACCATCAATGCTGTCATGTGGTTCTTCTATGGCCTTTTCCTCAAGGATTATTACATTGCTGTAAGATAAAACATTGATTCTTTTCTTCTTTTGGTAATTTGATTAAAAAAAAGATTAATTAATATTTGTATTTGGATGATATGCAGCTGCCAAATACGCTTGGGTTTCTGTTCGGCATAGTGCAGATGGTACTGTATTTGATTTACCGAAACGCCACGCCAGTGGTTGAAAAGGACCAAGCGAAGGTTCAAGAACTGAATGGCCATACAATAGATGTTGTGAAGATGGGTTCTATGGTCCCTTCTGACCCCAATTATGCAGCTAAAGTCTGATTTCCCCAATGAGAAAAATATGAATGTCGAAAAAAAAAGGGATCGATGATTTAAAAAAAAAAAGGAAAAGAAAAAAAAAAAAAAAACCTAAACGTACTTTACTGAGTAGGGTCACCTCTCATATCATGGAATATGCAAGAACAGTGCTACGTAGTCGCTGGTATAAGTGTTTGGTTTTATTAAATGCAAAGGTGTGGTTTAAATTTGTCTGTACGGATAGCTGTAATTGTCAAGCAGTCACATATATATAAGCAAAGACATAAACAACCTTAGCCTCTCTCGTTCGTCGGCCATATCACTCCCATGTTGTACTACTACTACTCCGTTACACGTAGTATATTCTCTTCTCAAAGTGTATCCCTCATTTCAATTCACTTTTCCTTGTATACGTAATCAATGTTCAAGTAATGAGAATTAATTATTTTAGTAATTTTGCTGCTGTCTTCGTCTATTGAGCGCACTTTTATTTAAATTTCCGATTTAATCATCATTATCCCTTTGTCAAATTCTATTTGTGATGAATTAATTCAACTCAAAAATTAAGTGAAGGCATTTTTAATAGTTTTATATATTTTTAACATGTCTCTTATACAAGAGCATACTGAACTTGAATGGTAGACAATGCATAGGTAAAATTATTTCTGCAGTCACTTTATGAACAGTATATGGTTATGATTTTTCACATTTAATACTTTCATACTTTGTATGGTTATGATTCGTCGCATTTAATATTTTTAAGTATATATATGGCAAGTATTTGATTGTTGCACATACAGCAGCTGCAGAAATGTAAATCCTATATATATAGGGCTTATCGTTTCTCAAGCTGTTTGAGATAATTTTATCTCCGTCAAGTAAATTATAACCGTATAAAGATGGATCAATGGTGATAAAGAAAGAGAGAGAAAAAGGAAATCATAAGCATTCAAAGGTGAATCAATTAATATAAGGAAATAAATAAATAAAAGGACGTAATTTTGGGGTAGCCGGAGATAAACTTATCTCAGGCTGCTTGAGAAATATTTTTTCCATATATATATATATATATATATATATATGTATATGCCAAGAAACTCCACAAAATTTAATTATTTATTAATTAAATTGGGACGGTAAGGCTCGAACTTATTACATCAAAGTTCTGATACTTCAATCTAAAAATTTAAATCGTTAAATGAAAGTTGTTTTAATGATTTTATATATCTGTTGTTATTTGTCAAATCATCTATAATATTAAAATGAAAGAAAGAGGAGGAGGGTTCTGTTTGCATTTTCATCTGTCATGGACAAGGAGGCAGATAAGCCCTCCTAAAAGTTAAAAAGAAAAAAATGGTATATCTTGATGACGGCGTCGTTCCAAGTTGCAGACAAAAACACAGGACACTATGAACTAATCTAATCTCATCCGAATCCATTTCATCGTAAAAGGGAAGGAGTTAAAATAAAGCAATTCCAATAATTAAAAATTACAAAACCTACACAGATTAGAACGCCAAAGCTATGAAGATTGAATCTTAATAAAAATTTACTTGCGAACCTTTACTGATCAAAATATCAACCCTGAGATATATAGGACAAAGTCAAAACAGAAGAAAAGTGCTTGTGAAAAGTAAAAGTGAATTGCTCGTGGCCAAGGGAACCCACATGTCTAGTTATTGTCTTCCCCTGCTTGAGCCTTCCCCTCCCCCTTTTCCATTTTTTTAATAAAAGAAAACACTTTTTTCTCTTTGTTTAACTATTGTGATCTCATACACTTTTTGCTCTTTGTTTCACTATTGTGATCTCATTCTACACAGCCAGGAAAAATAGTCGTTTCTCACTGAAATAGTAATTGTTCCGGATAGTTATTTGAGTGTTTGAGCAAGTGTACGTGTGTGAGATTAATTATTTGTATGCGCATAGCACGGGTATATTTTTTATAGAAAAAATTTGTTTAATTTTCCAAGAGGAGTATGATATTTTATTTTACTTTTATAATTTAGGGAGTTTGATATTTTGTTTCAAATGAAATGAAATTGGACAACTTATACTGCCTCTATAAAGAACCAAATTCACTCAAAAGTTTAAATTATTGGGTGACGGTCTTTTTGATGGTTTATAATACACTCTCTCCTCTCACACAAGAGCTCTTGAAGCGTGAATATTACACAGTCTCAATTTTTTGATTTTACCTTGTACTTACTTGATTTCTCTAAAAATTGAAAGACAGTGAAGATTAAACTTGTGACCTCGTGATTGCTGAAGCTCTCGTACTATATTAACTCACAGTTTAAGCTGTTGGACAAAGTCCTTTTTAATAGTTTATAACATCCCCGTCACTTCATGTTTCGTGGTAGCCTCCATTGCAAGGTAGACACCGTGAATGTCTCAAACTAAAAGGTGTACATTGAGGGGGGTATAAAAGAAGACAAAGTTGGGATTTGTATTATTTTCTTTTTTTACTTTCTATCAATTCTCCGAGGGAAAAGCTTGAACCTTTTGAGTATGTGTTGTTAATTTGTGTATGCTTTTTTAATCAAATGTTGCGTTCTGATCTAGAGACGAAAATTATGAAGGATTTTTTTTAAAGGCTCAAATTTTTTTATTTTCGGAGTGCGGGGATAAACTCAATTAAAAGGGAGCGGTAGGCGGAGGAAAATGCAAGGATAAAATGCACTAACGAAACGTGAAACGAAAAAATGGGCCACATAGAGAGAGAGAGAGATACTGCATCAAAGGATGACTATGCGTCTCAAGATAAGCATATGAAGGCTTTACGCAAATGAGTGAGCCAAGGTTGCTCTTAAAGTTGCCCATGATTGCGTTGATAGATAACCTTGCCATGCACAATACTTGGTCGACTTGTTCTCGTGCTCAAAGCAGGTGATGTAATAAACCACTTGTTAGGTACCTTTAAAGTATAAAGACCCTCTAACCCATTACAGTATTTGTCAATTATCAAACCCTGTCTTCTATTGCTTTATCTGTTTTTATCCGAACGTCAATGCAGTGATCGTCGATCATTGGGCATGGGTTGCCAATTCGACCTCTGAGATATGATTCCCTTGCTTTTCTTTCTTTCTTTTCTTTTCATAATTTAGTGGTTAATATCATGTCTTAGCCAATGATTGCTACATAATTCTGTCCTACATGTATATCATTTGGTTCTGATTGATTTGATTTATCAATGACTAGTCCTATACCGTGTGTCATGCATCAACTTTGTGGTGGACCATGCTTAGCTCATGAATCATATCTTAGTACCTTTTATGTCTTTTTTTTTTTTTTTTCTCTCCCTGTTTTGAACTTTTCCATCAGTTCAGTTTTCGGTGACCGGCATAGTTCATCTTAATACGTGTTTCATCCAACCCTATCATTTTGTACCACATTAATTAGAGATTTTATGTTCCTACTTTGCAAGTTCACCTTACTCAAATGCATCAATTTGACAAGAAGATATGTTCTATCTGATCGGTTGTCTCAAGTGCTCGTATGTAACCAATTTATTGAAATCTTATTTCAATTATTAATTCTATATATCATCAACAAGTGCCCAAAAAAAAAATATATATATATATATATTGCATGTCCTATCGTATCAGGCAAACTACTAAAGATAATTGGTCATAACACAACGCACTAATTAATGTTTATCCTTAATGACTAATGCGTGATTATATTTTAGGAATCAAATCACTTTTTCCTTCTTCTCATCTCTCTAGCTAAATGAATAATGACACCTCAAAAAAAAAAAAAAAAAACTACCAACTAAGAAATAAGTATTGTCAATCAAATATGCAGAGATTTTTTTATCACTAATTATTATTCAATTAGAGAAACGAAAAAAAAAAGACTGAAAAAGGAGACAGCAAATTTGAGTTCTAGATATTTTATTGGTTGGGTATCAATATTGTTTTTCAAATTTACGAAATTTCTTTAAATTCTTAAGTTTTGAGTTGAAAACTGTCACAAATTTCCTTTAGTCCTTGTTTCCCCCAACCCTGTGCCCGAAAAAAAAAAAAAAAAAAAAAACTTCTCTTTACGTGCCTTATTCATGAAAAGTTTACGTAGATGTTTATATAATAAAGACAAAATCTAACAGAAATGAGAGTAGTTTACTCAAAAAAATTGGCCCTAAGATAGATAGTCGTAAGATACTTTGATATCAATTATTGGTAATCAATTCAGGAGTACTGAAGTGCGTATTATTAATTAATCAATGATGAAATGGCTCCAGTTGTTCTCAAGGTTCGTCAAACTGTTTTGTTCGGCACAGACGCTGTACAATTTGTGTATGATTTGTTGTTCTCCTTTGCGGAAAGACTCTTATTAATTAACTTATAATGTAACTTACACATTACTTAAAATGGTATAACAATTGGTGTGGTGAGAGGTTTGGGTAATTTGAATGAGATCATAGTTAGGTTCAAATATCGGTACTCCTATCTATTGTATATAAAAAAAAAAAATTGATATTATTTAAGCTATGTTACCTGCATAGATGTGTAGCTTCCGAAATTTCAAAAGTAATTAATGTTAATAGAATTATTTTAAAATTTTATTTTATTTGGATAATGTAGAACAAAACCGTGTAATTGTAAGAATGTTTTTTTAAAACTAATAGACCCAGATGGTTAAAGTTGATTTTATAATGTTAATTGAAAATCACTGAACTCTGCCTTAAAATAGTTTCTCACCCAAGAAGGAAGTTGTGGGTACCATTAAAATTAATTTCAATTTTTACAGTTAAAAATTAGGAGAAGGATTAATTTACTATCAATTAAGTTTATTACTTCTTATCACTAAATTTTAATTATTAATTTATGTTAATTTGATGCTTATAATTTATTGGATGATATTTATTAATTAATTATTAATTTCTAATAAATTATAATTATTAAATTAAATAAATTTAACAATTAATATTTGATAATAAAAAATAATAAATTTAATTAGTGATAAATATATTGTGCGCGTAAAACTTATTATGAAAATCCAAACCAAATACACTATGTAGTTGCACAATATTCCTGACAACTTTTTGACTTATAAAGGATTCTGCATGTTGCAAAATATAAACCAAACTTGCCATGTAAATAAAGGAGGGGTTCTTTAGTGGATTGAGTCTGCCTAAAATTGATGAGCTCTCCAATTAAAAAAAAAAATGTTAAACTTTTTGGTCTAAACTTGCTTTATGCAGGGGACCTTACATAAAAAAATTTAGCTTCCTCATACAAAACAGATCTAAACTCTACAGTCCACATATTTTACGTAGAATAGATCTACCTAAAAAGTTGCCGTAATATATAGATGTGTAAGCTATATTACTCTTCCTCGTCCCTTTCCCTGATAAAATAATTAACAACCACAGTAACGTTTAATTTTATTATTATTTTTTAAGTTTCCAAAACAACAATTCATAAATTACTCAAAATTTAAATATAAGGTTATATAAATATATTGCCTATTTAATTTGTATTTTCTACAATAGATGCATGGGTATTGACAACTGGAGAACTTTGAAGTCTTGCTAAAGATATATCTATATTTTGTAAACCAAAATTTGTTTCAATAAGAATACCGAAATTCAAATTATTCAAGAAAGATAAGAGTTATTTTTAGTATAAATTTTGATATATTTAGTTTTGAAAGAATTAATGTTAAAAGAATTCATTTTGAAAAAAAAATTAAAATTGATTTATGCTTGAGAATAATATTTTAAAAGTTAATTTAAAAGAATTTTTTAGTCAAATAGTATTAAGTAAAATCATTTTTAAACCTAAAATGCTTAAAAAATTTACTACTGATGCTTTAAGCAAAAAAAATTAAACCTATCCCGCAAAAATTACAGATGTCTCTTGACTTTTAATATGAGAATAAAGGGAAAAAAAAACCATAAAAGTTGTTGGAATGGATCTTGGCTGACGCAAAAGCTAAAAAATGTAGCTGGATATAGAATTGTTTTTACCAGCTGCAATTTTGCCTTTATCCAACGAAAAAACGTAAACAAACGATACTATGTCAAATGGTCCAGCGAGTTATTTTATATGAATACAAAATTCAAATTTTGATTTTAATTACTGAAATCTAGTTTTTACCAAAACTTTAGTGTCATTTATTATGGCCAGAACTTGCACTTTTAATATTTTTACAAAAAGGATTTATGACTTAATGTACTTCAAACACAATGCAAATAGCAAATGCTAAAATAGTGCCACTTTCGACTTTAACTAATATTGACTTACTAAATTCGATTTCACAATAACCACTTAACATGAGTAATTTGCATAGGTAAAATAAAATAAAAAAATAATTAACTAGTTTAATATGAATGATGTAGAATGGGAATGATGATTAAAGTTACCCATGTATTTACATGATAAATTGGTTGAAAAGCATTAACTCCACGAAAAACTCTATTTTCGATTTTCAAAGATGGTCCATGCTCCACAGTCGAGACGTCTGTCACAACATGCCTTAATAAACTTCGCTTCCATATTCTAGTCAACAAATGCAAAGCTAGCATTCACGTTTAATCAATAATAAATGTGGTTTGACCAGGAAAAAGTTATTACATATACACTACAAAAACATGTACGTAGTCATCTTCAAATAGAAAACATATGACCTCTTTTCTACTCCTTTTCCCCACCCAAAATAGAAAAAAAGCAACCCCAAAACTTAAAAAGGTTAAAAAAAAAAAGATTAATAACCATTCTTGTCCTGTATCTTGGAATATATGGACAGCAAAATCAGTGAACAAATGATTGGTTCTGCTGGGAATATATGATTAAAGCACTCCCCTTGTAAGGCTAGCTAGCTAGGCTTTAATCATTGCACTTGTGCATATATCATTAATATTGTGACATGCCATTAATTGCCTTAAAATGGAGTAGCCTCCCCTCTAATCACATGGACATGGAGAACGACCACGTGGTGCGATATATAGTAAATATTTTGTAGTAGTCCATAAAAACAAGGTTAGATAAAGTACGAGTTGCCTAGCCACTTTAGCCCAATCAGGTTATGGACACTCATATACCTCCATCATGGATCCAGAGAACGAATAAACTGTAGCCATGGTTCTTCAATTCTTCATGCCCATTATATATCAGCAATTACAAAATCAATATAATTAACATCAATGCTAAAATCTCCATTGAATTTGTCTTCACATTCATTGAGCACTTACACATCAAAACATTATGTCAGAGAAGCATCTGACATGTATAAGCACTACACCATTACTGGATCGATTAATTAATGGCTTGTTTTGAGATGCACTGCATGTCATGGGCAACTGGATGTCCTAAATGCTGTAAATGAATGCGTATGTACACCAGAAGTGAGAATTCATTAGCATCTATATATGTTCTATATTAAGTAATAATAGTGGTAATAAGTTGACCAAAAAAATGTAATGCATGATGCCTTTATCTATGAGCAGGAAATTTCGATATTGTCGTGAGGAATGTACGTAACTCCCTTTCTTTTATTACATTTCTTTTCTATCAGTTTTATAAATGAGACTACAACAACCAAAATTATTCCTACAAGACATATGCCTATAGCCAACACAGTGACAGCATGGCATTTAGAATGGAAATCAAATAAATAAAATTATTATATTATTATTTGAATATTTTATTATAAAATACCGAAAATGTCATTAGAAAGTGGATGTAATGATAAGAAAACTAGTAAATAATAAATTAGTTCCATCTCAAATCTCAAATTGAAAAAAGAAAAAAGAAAATATAAAATATATGAAATAAAGTGGGACAAAAGTGATTACATTATATTATATTTTATTTTAAATAATTCAAACAACTAAATTAATTCATGTTTAGGGTTTTTACACGATATATACATGATCTTGTCTTTCTTCTTCCCATATTCAATAATGTTAACAATGTCGCATTGTTGGATTTTAATTTAAAGTATGTTTGCATTATTTTGTTACAAAAAAAAAAATTTTGAAAAAGAAAATAATTTTTACTTTGTGTATACTCGAATGTAATTTTTTTTAAAAAGAGAAAAAAAATTAAACATAATATTTTTTGGAAGTTAAATTAAATTCCTAACTTTTAAGAAAAAGTAAAAATGCTACTTTTTACTTAAAAATACTTTTTGGAGATTGATCCAAATATAAAATAACTCGAATTTTGAAAAAAAAAAATTAGTGCATACTTTTTATTATTATTATTTTTTAAATATCCGTAATTTCTATTTTCAGCTAATGTGTCAAACGGTGTCCTATGTCATCAGTCAATTCAATGACAGTCAGCCCAATCCTGGACAACAGAAGCCGATTTCACGTTGGGCCACAACAAACCCAAACCCCATCTTTTTATTTAATATTCATCAATTGCAATTGAAGAAACGGCACCGTTTGGCTTGATGTGAATGGGGTGTGCAGACTGCAGTGCAGACCGTGTCGTTTTGACTGGGTTCAGTAGTGAGTACGGCATTTCATAATTTTTTGTTTTTTTAATTTTGTTTTTTTAATTTAATCTTTGTCTTGTTGTTGAATTGAGCATTTACCGAAAAAGAAGAAGGAGAAGAAGAAGAGAAAGAGGAAACGAATAAAGTCAAAAGCTGGGAATGGATTCACTCTTATCATAGATATTGAAGGTAGTCTTCAATTTCTCTTTTACTGCTATGGATCTGATCATCTTTGAATACTTGATTTAGTGTATAAATGGAATCTAATCAAATCAAATCAAATTAATTTCGATTGGGATTTTAGGAATCGAGAGAGGAAGGGTTAGGGTTAGGGTAAGGTTGACAAGGCAGAGGAGAAGAAGAAGAAGAAGAAGAAGAGAAGTTAATTCAAATGCCGGAAGACGACTTGGTCGACATCAAGTTTAGGTTGTACGATGGCTCCGATATCGGACCCTTCAGGTACTCCTCCGCCGCCACCGTCGATATGCTTAAGCAAAGGATTGTCTCCGATTGGCCCAAAGGTTACTCTCTTTCGAAACGATTTCAATTTCATTTTTTCGTCACTTTTTTTTTTTTTCTTGTTTACTGGTTCCTTTCAGAACATTAGGAAGTGACTTAATAGTTTGACTTAGGGAGTTCAATTTATATCTGTATCTTTTGGTTTGCCAAAGTCATGTGTGAATGATTCTCGAAGTTTGTTGAGTTGCTGCGTTCCGTATTTCCATAAAGGTCGCTTAAAACTGAGGACTGTTTGATCTTGGTTGGTTCTGCGCAACGTGTTATCCATTTTTTGTAATAGCAAGTGCTAAGTTCAGCATCATAGCTATTATTGATATCATGGTCTTGATGATGTCAGGAAAACCATAGTTGTCTTATGTCAAGTAAATCTGAATTGCATCATCCTAGCAAAGGGAAGCCCCTTATTAGGTTTCAGCTGCTTTTTTTTTTTGTAAAGGACCATAGTTTGCACTATTTCAATCATAGCTGACAATTATTAGTATTATTATTATTATTATTATCAAAGTTGAAGAATTGCTTACTTTTTCCACCATTGTTATTTGTCTGTTAGTTTCATGGGCTTGAATGTGGGTTTATTTGGGTGGGAACTGGGAAGACTGAAGAATGAAGACACAAGCGTTTCATCAGAATTTTCATTCATAAAGGCTTGCAGCACTTGGTTTTGCCTAAAACTTTTCTGGCAAGAGTAAAATATTGCTCGATTGCTACAGTCATCTATTGTCCTCATCATTATGATGCATAGACATTTATTTACCATTCCCTCTCACATATCAATCACAGTTAAGGAATTGGATGTCTGTTCTTATGTCAAGATTGATGTTCTTAGATTTGGTCATGAAATCTCTTATATAACTCTACAAGTTGTATGTTTGAGTTGTGTTGCAATGAGGAATAAACAAATCAGTGCAGGAATAAGCTAATCCAAGATAAATAGAACAAATTGGAACCAAATTGGGGGGATTAGAATCAAACAAAGGCAAGAATATAGTATTCCATGCAGGAATAGAAACCAAACAATCCGAACAGGGTAACCATATCCAAATAAGGGTGGGATCACTGTAAGCCACGGATCAATAGGGCCAAAAAGACTTGAACAAATCAAAACACGGGAACCTCAGCATAACATGCCCAACTGTGGTAGAGGAGTGGCTGAAACTGGAAGCCAAGGCCTGGGACTAGCCAGAAAAGTCAGGGCAAAGAAGTTTGGACTGGTCACCGATGGAGGGTTGGGATGCACTACCTTAAACCGAAACATGTGAATATTACAGGGAAAAAGTTGAAACTATAGGGTCACAAAGGATGATAGCACACTAATGCCATGTTGAAATTATAGGGAAGAGTTGGAAAAGAGAGAAATGTTATTATTTCACAGATAATGAAAATGTGTGTATGATACAAAACACTAACACTCCTATTTATACTGATAATATAGGTCAAGCACTAGAATATTAATTCTAGTACAAGACTACAAGCCCAAAAGAATGAGACTACTAACATAATAAGACTCCGATTATAGTAAGAACCTTAATATTCTAAAAAGTTACATCTCTGTCTTTGAATCCTGCCAAGAACAAATGGAATAGAGTGCTTTTCCCCCAAATTTTTGTGTTAACCTTATTGTGAAACTATAAAATGATTGGGGATGCTTAGATGATTAAAAGGAATGAGAGCCAACATGAATTTGGTCCAGTGTATCAGAAAATCTTAAGTCAATTTGACAGTGGGCCTGACATAATTGAATGTCCCTGAGCCAAATGAAAATTATTTTGAATATGCTCATTATAACATTAGATAAAGAAACGTTACATTGGAAAGTTGTGGGCAAACTGTTTGCAAGGAAAATTTTGGCTTTTCACTTATTCAATTCAAATTGCAATTTAGTGACATTTCTTAGTTAAAGAGGAGATTAAATTTGATTATTATTGTAATGAAGTTTACTGATTCAGGCAACTTGTTATGATGATTATTCATTTACTTCTTTGGGTTCTTATCTACAACTTATTAAGAATAGGTTATGGACAGGTTCTGTCATGTTCTTTCATTTTATTTGTTTTACTTTTTCCCCTAATGTAGGTAAAACAGTCATGCCAAAGTCAGCAAATGAAGTGAAATTGATTAGTTCTGGTAAAATATTGGAAAACAACAAGACTGTCGGTCAGTGTAAAGTACCATTTGGTGAGATTGCGGGGGGAGTTATAATAATGCATGTTGTTGTACAGCCATCTCTAGCAAAAACTAAAGCTGGTAAGATCCATGGACTTCTTTCTATGGAGAATACATCATATTTTTTTAGTGACATTGAAATTTAGATTGTCAGGTTTTTTAAAGATTATTGCTATTTTTTGTATGAAAATTAACTGGAGCTCACGTCAGAACCAACTTCCCTGACTTGGCAGCTGGATCTGCATGAAGACATATTGGCTTGCTAATATCCGGTAGTATAGTGATTTAAGAATCCCTTTCGGAACGTTTCAGTGGCTTGTTATTGACATACAAGCATTGTTGTTAAAACGTAGTGTCAACTCGTAGAAACGGACGAGTTTACGTTTTTTGGGGCAAAAAACGTGTCAAAACGGTAGTAAACTCGTAAAATGAGCTGACTCGGTTGAAATGACGAGTCAACTCGGTAAACTCGGTTGACTCGGCGAGTTTACCGAGTCGACTCAATACTAAAAAATAAAAATAAAAAAGGAGGAAAAGGCTCGTCTCCATCTCTGTGGGTTATTATTTACAATAGCTAACCCATGTCTGACACCCATGACGCCCACGACCCCGAGCCGCCGCCAGAGTTTCTGCTCAGTCGTCCACCGCTGCTGAAACCATCGTTGGCGGCGCCGCTTTACAAGTAGCGATCGTGGTCGCCGGGATCTATATCGCGACGAGGTGTGGCTCCGCCGCTAAGGGAACTAGAAGAATCGTTGCAGCAAAAGCGAGGACTTTGCAAATCTCTGCTTCAAAAGAATGCCCATTTTCAACCTTTCGCTCCATCTACGTACCATTCCTTTATTTTAATATTTTTTTTTTATGAACAATGGCACCTACTGACTTAAGCTAGAAAGTTAGATATATCCCACCTAACTCTTATTTTATTATTTGTTTTGCTCCTTTGTTAAACCATCTTAGTAGGATCCAACCTTTTGTCCATCTACATACTATTTTCTTTATTTTATTATTATTTCTTGGTTAACATGATGGCACCTTTTGATTCAAATTAGATATTATATATTCCACCCACTTTATATTTTATTATTTGGTTCGCTTCTTAGTTTCGTTTCAGTATTATTATTTATATTAAGTGATTATATATACTGTGATTTATTTCTATTCAACTGTGATTTATATTTTATATTCCACCTTTTTAGTATATATTTGATTATATATTCTAATCATTATTCATGGCTTCTTCATAATGGTTTTGATAACTATAAATATATATTGGATATATATGGTACGTAGTAAACTCTTACATTTTGTTTACGTTTCACGATTTTACGTTTTTGCTCACCTTCACCTTTTCTACGTAGACTCTACGTTTTAACAACATTGCATAGAAGAGGTAGAACTGGGGGGAAACCAGAATTTTCAGGGACACTTGTAGATGAACTGAGTTAGCAGCTAACTTCCCCCCCTAGAAAACAACTCTATCTTTTTCAATTTTTTACTTCATGTCATAGGATCCCATTGCTTCGAGTAATTTAATAAGCATTTCATAAATGTTATTGAAAAATGAAAGCTAACTGACACGCTTTTGATCTTTTTTCTCTGACATCTCACCTGACTGCTTTTTTATAGTGATCGCTGGATTTAGGTCCTGCTCAACATCCATTTAATGGAGAGAGGTTCTTCTGTAGACTTAGTAGTCTGTACAAAATGTTCAGACTAAACCAATAAGTAATTGACATATAATCATTTTAATATAAAATGGTAGTGGCTCAAAGATTTTGACAATAATTTAATATAAAATTACGGTGTAGGTTATTTATTGCCATCATATACACATGTTCTATAGACTTTAGTTGTATATTCAGTACGAATAGTACTTCACTAGCGGGGCAATGTTGTATTTTATTTTTTTTATCTCGATGTGAGAATTTGATTTCCCGTTTGGTTCAGGTGGTAAAGGAAACGTATGCTTCATTTTTAGATTCAAAACTTATAAGGCCAGTAATGTATGGCGAGCAACATATGAAAGAGGGAGATCTGATGCCCTTGAGTGTTATACTTCTTATCTTCTTTGTCTATGTCCGGGCACAGACCTCCCTTTTTATCATTTATGAATGGTTGTTGTATTACTTCACAAGCAAACTATGTTTGTCATCCATGACCACCAAGCAATTCTTCTGAATAAATGGTTGCAGTTTGTAGGTCGGATTGTCAAGCCAAATGTCAATATAGCTTACCATTATTACATTCTATATATTTCGTTGTTTGGTTACATCATATTGGGATGGTAGGACACTGCCACACTTTGGATTCAATACCACAAGGTAGGTGCTCCCACGCTATAATTTAATTTTTTCTGGTAGAGGATAGGATATAATAATGACTGAGAGATTCCTAGGTTATGCTGAGGGTGTAGAGTCATTTATAAAATATTAAGCATGTTATGGGCATTGAAGACCGTTGTTTTCTCTTTTGGGCGAGTCCTACTGTACTTTTGATTTGAAGGTTGAAGAAATAATAGTTTGATATTTTCATTTTTCTTTTGCGTAACAGAAAAGAAGATTGATGATTCACCGAAGAAGGTTGTCTGTTCTTGTTCCATATTGTGAAGACAGTTCGTGAATTGGAAATGTTTATCCTTGATCCATCAACCATTACTACAGAAATCATCTGCTTGAACAAACCCTTTTATTTTCAGCATTCCTGTGTAAAGTACGTATACGGGCAATTATATATTCATAGAAAAGTTTGTGTTAATGGTGACTTCTGAATTTGATGTCATTCTTTTATTACAAGAGGGGTTGATGACTTTGTAACCATTGATGCTATCATTGTGCATGACGTTTTCATTGGCATTTCCATTGACGTGCGTGATATCATATGCATCTTAGAGTGCCTAAGCGCTTGATCAGTGTTCACGTTCTTTGTCAACTATATTTATTGTTTTTGGTTGGAAAGTATTTCAACTAGTTTATTACAAGACCCGGGATGAATGCCAGAGTTCAGATCTCGATGGAAATCTGAACTTCTACGAAGGTACAGTTAAAGGTTAAGTCCCAAACAAATATTACCGCATGAGCTGAGGGTACGATGTGATTTATTTGAATTGCATAATCAAAAACAAGTACTGCATCAATTTTTCCGGAGACATTTTGCTAAAAACCATTTTCCTAAAAAAAAAAAAAAAAAAACATAATCTAATTAAATATAGGATAATATTTTTCTGATGTTATATAAAAAAATATTTCGTACTTAAATAATAAATAGGAGAGAGAAAAATTAAAGGTGAGAGAAAAAAAATTTGTTAACACATTTAAAAAATATGAATGTCTTATTGTTAAATATATATATCTTCAAATAAAAAGTTGTTAAAAGGGCAGACTCATCTATTGCTTTCCAAGACTAGACAGAATTAGTTTGTATTCTTTACAAACAAAGGGACCTTTTATCCAAAGTTTTTTTTTCCTAAAAAGAACTTTTTATTATAGTTAAATAGTCATTTTGCTATTGAATGGAAAATATAGGCATACAAAGTGCAGCATTTGCCTTGCTTAAAATTCAAGTGTAAATTTTATGAAACCTTTTAGCAAAACTTCCTCTCCAGTTTGGCAAATGAATTTCAGGTGCCCTCAATTTTACAATATCTCGTGCGTTTTGGAGACCTAGGCACCTCATCCTACATCTCTACTGTACAATCAGTCAACAAGTCATTCTTCTATACTGCATCATAAAGTAGCAAGCTAGAAAATTACATACAATGAATAAACAGTCTGACATCCTAAATCTCAAGTTTGGAACTTCATAACCATATAAGGCAAACATAAACTCCCTATGCCCACAGAAAATGCTGTAACAGGGCTTTCATCGTTCTAGTCTGCCACTAGAAGACTTCCTTTCCAGCAGCCGTACCTTGTCACGCAACTCTTCAATGGTATTTGACGCCTCCTACAGGTGAAAAACTAAATCTAGTGACGCTTATTCAAAAATATCCAATGAATATCCAAATCTCTTGTATTGTATTTTGGATTAAAAAAAAGACAGAAAAGATAGCACTTCTTTTTCCATTCTTATTTTCTATTCAGGGGAAAGGGGTATTAAGTTACGAGGTGAAACCTGAAGCTTCTTTCTCAAACTTTTCTCTTCAGCATTACGTCTATCCCTCTCTTCAGCGAAAACATCAATTAGAGTTTCTTGTTCCTTGTTCAAATCTTCAATCTTTTTTTCTGCGGCATGGAGCTGATAAAGAAGAGGAGACATTTTAAGAAATATGCAATTAAATTTAAAATGGACAAAGCAATTTTAGGGGTTAGATAAATTCATCGAGTACCATATTCATTGTCCTCCTATTTGGTTTCAATTGAATCTACAACATCTTTAACATTAATATTCCCCTCAACCAAGATTTAGACATCAAGTTTGCAAATTACATTTCTATTCCTCTCAAGCTCAAAGGAAAGTTTTACCAAACAATCATAATGCCAGAGACACAAACTTTATGTACCGAATGTTAGGTTGTATAATGCTAACAAGAGTTAAAACTAAAATTGTTATTTAGGCCTTCGGTGCCATTACCAAAGCCTTGATGGGAGGGTTAATAACTTTACCAAAGTTAAATGTAATTAACCATTGTTTAATTTCAAAATTATCCTTATTATCCAAGCATTGATGACGATGGGCCATACAATATTTTATTAAAATTTTGAAATTATTAATGTTTAATCTAGTGAAATCTGACTATGTTTATCTGTTAGGGCTTCAGCCATAACAATTTCACTTATAAATGAAAAGACCATCATCAAACCAAGCTATTCTGATATTTCTAGCACAGATGTCTAAAAGACAAAATTCCATGGTTCAAACCTGAGTTTCAAGAGATTTACACCGGTCTTTCTCATACTGCAATACTTCCCCCAAAATTTCTTCCTCCTTCCGCTCTAATCTGTAACCCAAAAGCACAAAAAAGAAGGATAAGAGTCAATGAATTAGGTTCAATAAAGAAACCAAGGTTTGCAGTGAAATTTCTAAAATTACAACATACCTTTCCTTCAGCTCACGATTCTCCTTTTTCAACTGCTCCAGAGTTTGTAAATCAGCGTCAGATAGTGGTCGCTCACCATCACTAACATCTTGTCCCTGCATTTCAAACACAGTTTAGGAGCCATTGCCAAATAACACAAACAAGAAAAAAATAAATATCAAGATAAAATGCATCTTAAGCTCTAAGCCAATCTAGGCCAGAGTCATGAAGCAGTCTTTTTCAATCAGCTCCACCAAAAGTCATTTTGAGATGCCCATGTTGTAAACAAATTCCCTTAAATAAAATCCTCAATGCCTTGTATTACCCATTATGTTTGATGACTTTCTCGTAAGAGATTGACAGAAAATCATTCTAACATCTAATTGAATCACAAGAACATGCTATATAGGTCAAATCTATTTTAGTTTAAATTTCCTATTGGTGTTAGTTATAACCAGGTTCTAAATATTTTAAAAAAGCAAATCACACGCCAGCAACGAGCTGAGACACAGTACTGAGGCAGGTGCCTTGGAGCATCTTAGGGGTCACTATATTAAAACTTGTAATCATCTATTCTCAATGTTTAATGTTCAGCAATGGATAAAGACCATTGCTTTAACCTGACACCCAGGACCTCCCCCAACCCCTCAAAAAATAAACCTAAGCTCTGTCGGTTTGGATGTTTACAAAATCCTCGTTTTTCTATTATTTTCATCCATTCAGTCACTCTTTCTTCATGCCTTTCTTCTGATAAAATGCAGCAAATTTATTGTAAAAGTAGTAGATTTCTGAATCCACCCTTTTCAAACCTCACATATCACCAGCACTTGCTCAAGTTGCAATGTAAGTATGTATACTGGCAGAAAAAATAGAAAGAAGACAGAGAGAAATAGAGAGAGATGATGATATGCATGACCTTCAGCTTAGAATCTCGCGTGGACTGCAAGGCTTTTCCACTTGATGTAGTCTCTTGTAAACATTCATTATCATTTTCAAATGACTTTTTAGCATTAGATGTCTTTTGATTACCACCTTTTGCTTGTTTCTTAATTTGATCACTGATATCATCACAAGATGAGGATTGTTCAGATGAACTTTGTATCCTACTTTTAGGAGAGGCTGACAAACGACTATTTATGTATGCACTATATCTTTCTGGTTCCTTTCGTATCCGTTTCTGATTCGAATTATAACACAGTTTGTCTGATGTCAATGCTGTTCCCTTGCCATTTGTGGCAGAATAGTTCCTTTTTGATTGAGATGATTCTGGAACACAACCGGTAGGTGTCTCTACAAAATAAGATACATTTGTAGAAATCACAAGGTCATCCATAATAGGATTTCACTCCCCACGAGCAAGCAACATATGTATCAAACTACAACAAAGTAAGGCCTCATATCATACCTTTACCGGCAGAGCCGCTGATTTGTTTCTTACTTCGATTGGAAGCATAACCAATTTTATGGCAGTTAGAGCTCCTAAATAAAGAAGAAAACAATAAATTAGTAAAGCCAAAACACTTCATAGTTTATTCAAACAATTGTCATGAATAATCCAATGGAGAATAAAGAATCACCAATAATTCTTCTGCATTTGTATCAGTCGTGACTCCAGTCTTGATAAAACTAAAGTACGCTCAAAGCCTTGCTTATCATGAGCAGGTTCAACAAAGTTGGCTTCCAACACACCTGCAAATGGAAATGAACCATATCCTAAATGAGTATAGTCAACTTGATAAGAGGATCTCAAAAGAGCACAGGAAAAAGTGTCACCTATGACCCCACGCCCACCACTTCCTGCTGGATTCCAGATCCTCCAGAATGGCTGACAATCATGAAAACCACCCGTAAGAATAAACTATAATGACAACGTTTGGACCTCTACAAACTGAACCTAACTCCCCCAAGTCCAAAAATCCACCAAAAGGGAAAGTCCACATTGATTTTTTTATCATAAAACAGCTTCTGAACTTAATCCCCCCAACAAAAAAAATGAGTAGTTCAAAGGAAGTCTTGACGATTTGAACAAAAGTGAATATCTAGAGTTTTTCATTTAATTTTCAAATTCCAACCAAACAAATAAATGTTAATTTAATTCAAAAGAAACTCATAATAAAAAAGCCAGTTTGAAAACAGACAGCAAACAATTTTACGAACAGAATCGAATCGACATGGATGAAACTTAACAAAAACACAGGAGATAAAGTGCAACAACAGTACAAATATGCCAGTACAAATATATGTGTGTGTGTGCGCGCGCGCGCGCACGCGTCAAATGACCAATTATAGACTAAAATCAACAGACACAAGTTAACAACTGAGAAAATATTCTTTATTATCTCAAAAGCAGTTGGACCACAAAAACTTCAAAAGGGAAAAGAGGGGGATGAGCTTCTTCAGATACAAGATAACATAACCAAAAAACAAATGATGTATCATAACAAACCCCACCTTAATAAGTCGATTCTTGTGATAAACATTAAACCCTGAAACATCAACATGATGAACTGCATCCTTGACAAATCCAATAGTAACAACAGCAACCATCTGTCATAAGATCTAGATTAAATCATACTGCTAAGTTAGGAAGATCAAACTTTAAATTAAATTGACATTACATTTGAATCCTTTGGAATCCCATCAGCCCCCGATTGTGGCTTGTATGTCACCTCCTGAGACATCATCATATCATTCACTATATTGTGATGCAAAACATCTTTCCCTCTAAGAATAATTCGGAAGCCCGGTGGAAATCTCAGGTATAAAATTGAGGCATAACTCTGGATAGACAAGAATAATAATCATGAGAAATATAATAATACACACACACAAAAGGCACATTCACGTGTATATTAAATATGAAATTGAACTAAATCTTTTCGATCAATCTTTAAATAAGTTTTCTTTCTAGAGTCTATGTCTAATTAATTCTCCATTTTCAAGGTTTCAACTTTGAAAACCTTTACTTAATTAACATATACACTTACAGACCAGGAACACAAGAAACAACTTAATATGCTGATGTCTGAAACAAATAATAATAGTAACAATAATAATCTTGAATTACCCTTAGTGAATGTCGGTAAGTTAGGAAGTGTCTAGAGTTGGGGAACTCTTTAGCCATTTGTATTTTTTTCTCATCCCGATTTACACCTCTTATTTGAATATCCTGACACACAACATAAACATGTCAAAATTTGTTTAAAATAAATGGATATTTTTTTTTCTTTTGTAAGGACAAGGAGGGGAGTGTGGAGGATAATATAATTCAGTCATCAGACATACATGTGCGTCTGCATCAAAATCAAGTTCTAGCTGACCTTGATCATCCTCCCAAAGATTGTATATGATTATTCGAGTACCATGATCTTTCATCAGGTTGAACTGAAAATTGTATTAGAGTAAGACAATATCAGTTAACCGACATACAAATATATAACCTGACAGCTCATTAAATTAGGCAATAAAACCCAGAAGAGGAAATGTCAGAAAAGAAAAAGATATGAAATCAATTACCCCCTCAAATAGCAAGTGATTACCTGACGAATTAGATCAGCCTCATTGGAAACTGGCGACCATTGAACTATTGTTTCAACATTTTTATTCCAATCTTTCAGAGAAGTTCGTATCATCCTATTCCATTCCTGTCCACCTCTTTCATAGTCCAGCTTTCATTTCAGTATAAACAACATTTAGATGCATGTTAGAGGAACATAAATTCAAATAATCAAATTCAATAGAAAACACATTCTCAACCATGAATGTCTCTCACAGAAATAGATTCATCCAATCTACAAACATCCCCATCCCATTATTTGTTACTAATGAATCAAATTATTATTTTTGTTGGTGATAACACAAACCTCACAGCTGAAAATGAGATAATTAATTGCAAGCACAGTTGCTACGGTGATCAAGGATAAATCTAGATTAAGATGTAACATATGTCCATGGGAATTCGACAATCCTTGAGTAGATAAATTAGACTCTCCCATTAATTCACTATTTCAATATAATAGTGTAAACTATAATTATATAATACCTCAAAAGATAAAGTTCATTAATTGACAGGCGCAAGGCCTCTTGCAATTACTGATGTGGCTACGTGTGTGCACGTGAGTGCATACATGAAGGTGCGCGTAATGTGTGCATGTAAATTAAAACAAATAAGGAAATAGTACAAATTACCATGGGTACTACAATGTCTTCCTTCCCTGTACTCCTCAAAAATGTGTAAGACAGCAAGCCTATGCTTTGTGTAGAGCTAATAACAATGTCCAAATCACCCAGTTAGATAGAGAAGCATGCCATGATAAACAATGGTTATTGAAATACAAATATAACAAATTCATCCTCAAGCATGACTGATAAGCCCCAGCCCAATAGGGTGTACAAGAGAGACAAAAATAGAAGAGTTTGGGCTCCAACTTATGCTGATCCAAGCCCAAATTATGCGGCCAATGATGATCCAAACCCAAGCCTCACTACCCATGCTGCTCCAAGCTCAACAAAGATGACTCAGCAAGTTTGTTACAACTGAATGGAGGGGCACAGCACAATGGAGGTTAAGTAATGGGAGTGGGAACGTGCATGGGGCATCGGGAATTTGGAAATAGAGAATGGTCCTTGGGAGAGCTTCAGCACCTCTCGAATGTGCTGGGATTTTATAGTTACTACATTAAGCTTTAGTTGATTTCTGTAATAGTTCTGCCATTAAATACTGTAGTTCCATTTCTGCTTGTAATTCAGTTTCTTCATTCAATATATAAGAAAATCCAGATTCTTCTGGGCCCAAATAGCTGTGTTTTATTATTATTTTTCCGTATTCTTGGTGGTCCGTATCAAACTGGTATCAGAGCTCCGATCTAGGAGCTCTGTGGGATGGTAGTCACAAGAAACATGGAGAACCGAATCGAATTGATGGAAGAACGGCTGCGCAGAAACGAAGTTCAAAACGATGAAATACTCAGGAGGATGGACGCGAGTGAGAAGGGAGTTGTGGAGATCATCCGGAGGTTAGATGAAATAGCGGAACGATGGAGAAGTGGCTCTCATGAAGAGCATGATGGTTCCAACAGGGAAGCACCAGGAAGGAGGTTCAACACGGTTCCTCCCATGTCCAGAAGGCTAGACATCCCTTTATTCTGTGGCGATGACGCGTATGGGTGGATTAATAAAGTAGAGAGGTACTTCAGCATCAATGGAATAGCCGAGGGAGAGAAATTGGCAGCGGTGATGGTGACGCTAGAAGGGGAAGCTTTGCAATGGTACCTTTGGTGGGAGATAAACAACCCCAATGCGAATTGGGAGTTTTTTCGTAGGGAGTTGTTGAGCCGGTTTCAGCCTGATGCTCTTGACAACCCTTACAGAGCTCTCTATACCCTTAAGCAAACGGGAACGGTGGCTGAGTTTCGAACTGAGTTCGAAAGAGTAATTGGAGCGTTGTGTTTCGAGGATGAAGAGTTGTTGAAGGGGGCGTGGCTTAACGGAGTTCGGAGCAGCGTTAGGGAGGAACTGATGATGAACCCAGGAATAAGCCTGACTGAGATGATGAAATATGCCCTGAAGATCGAGAGGAGAAACGACGCATGGAGGGAAGAAGAGGTTGGCGCAGGGAGAAGGCTCGGTTGGACTGGGCCAGGAAAAGGAGGTCAAGCCCAACGCGGTTGGGCCAGCTCCAATCGAAATGGCAGCTGGGGTGGTTTGGGTTCACATAACCCATCCAACCCGGGTCGGGTTAATAACTCACCAAATTCATTTAATCAGAACAATCCAGATCCCCAAAATTCTAGGGCACCAAATGACGACGGACAGAGAGAGTCGACCACGAAAATACCTGGCACCGACAGTGGAGGTCCGATGACGGAGAGTCAAGGGAGCAACAACTGTCGTCTCTCACAGGCGGAGATGAGGGATCGTCATATGAAGGGTCTTTGCTTCAAGTGCAACGAGAAGTGGAACCCCAACCATCGGTGCAAATTTCGACAACTTCGTGTGCTGATAGTCGACGAAGAAGATGATGACAAGGTAGAAGACCATGAGGCGGTAGCGACGATGATCGATGATGAAGTCAGGGGTGAAGGAGACAAGGACGTGGCCCTACAACTTTCCATGCATAGTTTGTTGGGTATCACTTCGAGCCAGACGCTCAAGGTGTGGGGAAAAATTCTGGGAACGGACGTCACGGTGATGGTCGACTGTGGAGCGTCAAGCAATTTTGTACGAAGGGAGGTGGCAGAGAAATTGGGTCTGCCCATAACAGAGACCACTGCTTACAACGTGGTGGTGGGTGACGGCCACAAGATCAGCTGTCAAGGGGTCTGTAAGGGGGTGGATATTCTGCTTCAGGGTTCACTGGTTACTCAAAACTTTTATCTTTTCGAATTGGGGAGCTCTGATGTCGTGTTGGGGTTGGAATGGTTGACCCAATTAGGAGAAATTAAGGCCAATTTTAAGGAGCTAACACTGAAGTTTGTTCGAGAAGGTCGTGAAGTTACAATCAGGGGAGACCCAGCACTATACCGTTCTGTGGTCTCTTTGAAATCCATTGTAAAGGCTCTCCAAGACCATGGCCAAGGATTCTACCTGAAGACTGATGACAGAGAAGATGAAAGGAGCAACATTCAGTGGGTGGAGCTAGAGAGGCTGCTTGCAGAATTTGAGGATATATTCCAAAAGCCAAGGGGACTGCCACCGAGCAGGAGTCATGACCATGCCATCAATTTGAAGTCAGGGAGTCAGGTGCCTAACATACGGCCATACAGGTATCCCCATTATCAAAAATCCGAAATTGAAAGTCTTGTTGCTGAGTTGCTTAGTGATGGCATGATAAGACATAGCACTAGTCCTTACTCCAGCCCAATGATTTTAGTAAAAAAAAAAGATGGGAGTTGGAGGGTGTGTGTAGACTATAGGGCCCTGAATAAGCTGATTATCCCTGATAAATTCCCCATCCCGGTGGTTGATGAGTTGTTGGACGAGCTTGGGGGCTCCTCCATTTTTTCTAAGCTTGATCTGAAGTCTGGGTTTCACCAGATCAGAATGCGTGAAGAAGATATACCCAAGACAACGTTTAGAACGCATCAAGGGCATTACGAGTACTTGGTGATGCCCTTTGGGTTAACAAACGCCCCATCCACATTTCAAGCCCTGATGAATGACGTATTGGGCCCATTTCTGAGAAAATTTGTACTGGTATTTTTTGACGACATACTCATATACAGCCAGAACCGCGAAGAGCACATGGAACATTTGATTCAGGTTTTTAGGGTGCTGCGGATTAATTCCTTAGTGTGCAACAAAAAAAAATGTAGTTTTGGCAGGGACCACATGGAGTACTTGGGGCACATCATATCGGCTGAAGGGGTAAGTGCTGACCCTAGTAAGATTGACGCCATGACAAGATGGCCAGCACCCAAAAATATCAAAGGTTTGAGAGGTTTTTTGGGCCTCACAGGTTACTACAGGAGGTTTGTGCAAGATTATGGCAAAGTTGCAAAACCTCTGACGGATTTATTAAAGAAAGATGCCTTTCAGTGGGGTGAGGCAGCAGCGCGCTCTTTTGAAGAGCTAAAGAAGAAGATGGTTACTGTTCCGGTTTTGGCATTGCCAGATTTCTCTCAGCCCTTCACTGTGACCACTGATGCTTCAGGCAAAGGCATTGGGGCCGTCTTAATGCAAGGCAATAGACCAGTGGCCTTTTTGAGTCAAGGTTTTTATCCAAGGGCACAGGCAAAGTCCATTTATGAAAAAGAGTTAATGGCTATAGTATTCGCAGTACAGAAATGGAAGCATTATCTGATGGGGAGGCATTTTATAATTAAATCTGACCAAAGGAGTTTGAAGTTTCTCACTGATCAAAAAGTTTTAAATGAAGACCAGCAAAAGTGGGCTGTGAAGCTACTCGGATTTGATTTTGAAATTCAATATCATCCGGGTAAGGAGAATCACGTTGCCGATGCCCTTTCTAGGCAAATGCAGATGGCCAGCATTACCAGGTTACAAATGCCCGAGTTACAAGAGCTGGAGCAAGAGTTACAAGTTGACAACAAACTGAGGGCTATTTTACAAGACTTACTGGTTGGTAGCACTGCTCATCAGGGGTTTAAATTGAAGGAGGGCAGACTATTCTACAATGATTGGCTGGTTGTCTCTAAAACTTCCAAACTCATCCCTATTTTGCTTCAAGAATTCCATGACTCGAGTTTTGGGGGACATTCGGGTTTTTTCAGAACCTACAAGCGGCTGGCTAACTTGGTTTATTGGGAGGGGATGAAACGAACCATCAAGGATTACGTGGCTGCTTGTATAGTTTGCCAACAAAGCAAGGCCCAAAATCTGACCCCTGCCGGCCTTTTGCAGCCATTGCCCATCCCTGTGAAGGTATGGTCTGATATCTCTATGGACTTTATTGGGGGGCTGCCCAAAGCCATGGGTTTTGATACAATCTTTGTGGTTGTGGACCGTCTAACAAAATATGCCCATTTTTTGCCCCTCACGCACCCATACACAGCAAAGGAGGTCGTTGAATTATTCATCAAAGAGGTAGTGAGGCTTCATGGATTCCCACTGACTATTGTTTCTGATCGTGACAGGGTTTTTCTTAGTGCTTTTTGGACTGAATTGTTCAAAAGTGCCGGTACTAAACTACATTACAGTACCGCTTACCACCCGCAAACGAATGGTCAAACGGAAGTGGTTAACCGGTGCTTAGAGGTATACTTGCGGTGCTTCTGCAGTCCTAAACCCAAGCAATGGCCCAAATGGATTGCATGGGCTGAATTCTGGTATAATACTACCTACAAAGATGCCACAGGCATGACCCCTTTCAAGGCTTTATACGGTACTGACCCTCCTCATCTGCTCCGGTGTGATAGCTACTCCTCTGCAGTAGATGCCATTTCTCGTTCCCTGTCCGAGAGGGATACTGTTTTGCAAGATTTAAAACAGAATTTGGTTCGGGCCCAAAACAGAATGACAATTCATGCCAACCAACATAGGAGAGACGTTCATTTCAGCCCAGGTGACCTAGTTTATCTACGGTTACAACCTTATAGACTCAAGACTCTTGCTAAGCGAGTTAATGAAAAACTTAGCCCAAGATACTATGGTCCGTACCCTATTGTGGAGAGGATTGGGGAGGCTGCCTACCGACTCCAATTACCTCCAGGATGCCAGGTCCATCCGGTATTCCATGTATCTCTTCTTAAGCCGACAGTTACACCTGTTACAAACGCTCAGCCCTTGCCTTCCATGCTGACAGAAGGGTGGGAGCTCATAGTGGAACCTGAAAAGCTGGTTCAATGGAGGCGATCCAACAAGGGCGAGCTGGAAGTTCTGCTCAAATGGTGTCATTTACCCGAGTTTGAAAACACTTGGGAGTCCTTTGATGTCATCCACCAACAGTTCCCTCACTTCCACCTTGAGGACAAGGTACTTAAATTGGGGGGGAGTATTGATAAGCCCCAGCCCAATAGGGTGTACAAGAGAGACAAAAATAGAAGAGTTTGGGCTCCAACTTATGCTGATCCAAGCCCAAATTATGCGGCCAATGATGATCCAAACCCAAGCCTCACTACCCATGCTGCTCCAAGCTCAACAAATGATGACTCAGCAAGTTTGTTACAACTGAATGGAGGGGCACAGCACAATGGAGGTTAAGTAATGGGAGTGGGAACGTGCATGGGGCATCGGGAATTTGGAAATAGAGAATGGTCCTTGGGAGAGCTTCAGCACCTCTCGAATGTGCTGGGATTTTATAGTTACTACATTAAGCTTTAGTTGATTTCTGTAATAGCCTTATTTTTCTGCCATTAAATATTGTAGTTCCATTTCTGCTTGTAATTCAGTTTCTTCATTCAATATATAAGAAAATCCATATTCTTCTGGGCCCAAATAGCTGTGTTTTATTATTATTTTTCCGTATTCTTGGTGGTCCGTATCAATGACATTACGCTGATAGTTATTAATGACAATTCTACAATTATTGATTGTGCCAAAGATAGACCAGGTAACCTAAAATATAAATGGACACTTGTTTCTCCAAACAATAACAAATTACAAAACCATCAGAGTGCAGCAAACAAGGAACTTTTCAAAAGGAAGCATTTTAAATTGCACCCATAATGTAAGCACACTTCTCACAATTACAAAAACTTCTTCCACCAAGAGGGGAAAACTTTACGTAATCTTACCCTTACTTTTTTTGCAAAAAGATTGTTACCTATTTACTTCATATAATTTTAACTTATGAATAAAATAATTATTCAATATCTGCAATGAGAAGTTAACATTACATTGCACTGCTAATAGTGATACGTATAAATACTTGACCTCTGTATATGTAAACGAGCATCCTAAAGCCAACAAATACTAAAACACCAACTATTGATTACTTGAAGAAAGATATAACAAATACTAAAATTACTAATTCAGAATTTAATTCTCACCAACATGCAGAATAATCTCCAGCTTGAAAAGAAAATTGAATGAAACAATAAGAAATTTAAACAAACCTCTTCCCATCTTTCCCATGACAACGGGAGAATACAATTACATCAGCCCCGAGCCTCATGGTACTTGTTTTAAAGCCATTTCCATCTATCACATAAACACTAAAACATCAGTATACTCTCTGGAATGAAATATTCAAAAAGATTTATCTTCTGAAATGAAATATTAAACAAGATTTATCTTCTCCCCTAAACTAAAGGTTTACATTGTCCAATTGTATTTGCCAATTTGCTTTTCTCGGAATACCCCAGCGACATGCATTGACGCATTTTATCAGGATCCATCCCACCACCATTATCTGAAATAACAATCAACAATACAATGTTTTAGATTTCAAAAACAGAAAAAGAAGGGAGAGTATAAAATCTTCTATTAGGACTCTATTCACAAGACATTCATAAATCAAATTTTTAAATCTTTTCTAATATTCTTATCATGTAACATCAGAAATACTGCTTCTAAATGAAAAAAAAGGTGCAGTGCTGATTGTACTTTGGATATCAATTTAAAGAAAGAAAACAAATTATAGATGAAATAAAGGTGGGATTAGAAATTTAAAGTAATCCGAATGAGTTCTAAATTGCCAATCGTATTCCATCATGTACTTGTTTAAGACAAGTAAGGTCCCAACAAACATTGAACATTTTACGCAAGAATTTCTAAACAGATCAGAAATATAAATTGACAAAAAAAAATTCATGGAGGAATAAAAGCCACATATTTCTATGAAATCCTACTGGGTGTTCTTGCACACAGAAGCATGATTAAAGCATATCCTATTTTATATCCCTTTCTATTACCAAAACAAATCATCAGAATTATCAATCTGCTACATTTAGTTTCTTTCCATAGATCTATTAAGTAAACAATTCATAAATGACAATACCTTCAATCAGCAACATCCTGGTGCCATCTTTCTTACTTACAAGCATATCTACATTAACATATGTAGCCCCATTACAAACCTGAAGTCAAATTCAAGAAGTAGTAAATAAGGGAAATAATCACAACCAGTACTTAATAAAACAAGCGAAGTGGCCTACCTCATCCAATGAATTGTCCAAAAGCTCAGCAAAAGCTGCAGAAAAATAATCAATCTAAGCATGCTAAATTACAATAAATGTCTAAGAACCAAAGGGGGGAATATAAATCACTCGATATCACCGAAATGATTAACCACTGATACAAACATGCCCAGATTACCTCCAAGAGCCCACTTATGACTTGTAGCATTAGAATGTAGAAACTTAGGGTGAACTCTGACGTGATCCATACCAACTGCAGATTCTACAGTAAATATCAGGTTATGGTGCATTGTCAAGAACACAGGCAAATTCAAAGAACTCAAAAAAAAAAAAAAAAAAAAACTAGAAAAAAACTAGAAAAAAAATTAAAAAAATCAAGAGCTGCTTCAATTAATCTAATCAACATCAACAATATCTTTATTCCAAACTAATTGGGGTCGGTGGGTAGATGAACCCAAATAAAAGATACAAAGTGTTGAAAAAAAGATAAAATATAACTACGTAAGAATAATATAACTATGTGGGACTTTTTGACACCTTCATCTTATTTTTCACCTTCTGATATTTTTGTTACACAAAGCAACTGTAATGTGATAAAATTCTTTCAATTCGGAATAAACATCAGCACTGAAAAAACAGGACCACTAATAATCACAAGGCTAGAACATAATAAGGTTTGCAATCAGTAAAGAGCTATAACATAATAAGGTTTGCAATCAGTAATTAGCCATCAATTCATGTGAAGAAAGATAATAAACAAAACCCTCTCGAAACAGAGAAACACGCACCGGTTGAAGTATCGAAGCCACAGACAGGAGCGCCATCGTAATCTCCGGCCTTCCAAAACTGCTTAGGGCTATTCAGGACCAAACTCGCACTCCTGTTGGAACTCGCCGCCGAAGCAGAAGCCCACTCCGGCGCCGGCAAGGACAGCAAAGGCTGCGGCGGTGGGAACGGCGCCGGAGGGAGAGGGCTGAGGAATCCAACGGGCAAAACCACTCCCACGTCGTCCATCTTCCGTTTCTTCCTAGGGCTTTCTCCCGAAACGCCGGTTTGCGCCGCGCTGGCGATTACGCTATCCAAATCGACGTCGGAATCGGAATCGCTACTGCTACTACCGCTACTGAGTTCAATAACCGAGTCAGGAGGGAGCGGGGAAACGGCGCCATTTCTCTGCCTGCGATCGGGAACATTCGGAATCTCCAGCGCTTCTTCCTTAACGTAAGCATCCATGCTACAAGTTTAGACTAGAAAGTTAAAACAAAATCGAATGAGAGCGTGGTGGTTGAACAAAAAAGTGTTCCTTAGGCTAAACAAAAAGAATGAATGAACACAACCACGTGAAAGTGAAGAAAAGGCTACACGTTGGTCAAAACTTGCGCCACTATATGAGGATAAAAACAAAAAAAATTATGCAGAAGCATAGACAATCTATGCACATCATGTATTTATATTTAGGATTTGCCTATTAAAAACTCATAGGGTTTAAAGATTACCTTAATTACTTGAGAGTAGATGGAGTCTTGATAAACCTTTAGTTTATCTTGTTTTATGGACTAAAATAATATGAATTATCTAATTAAACAAGTCAAAAACTAGGGTTTTAATAGGATAATCATGAACATTATCTGAATTTTTGTTTAATTGAATCATCCTTGCTATTTTTTAGGGATTTGTTGACAAAAGGAGTCAAAAGATGAAGATTTGATAGATAGAGATCACAACTAGAAGATATGAGATCAAGAGATGATAGAGGAAGATCAAAAACAAGATAGATTTAAGATCTTATCAAGTTGTTAGAGAGGAAGCTTAAGCCTCCATCATGAAGCTTAAGCCTCCTAAACAAGCAAATAGCCTCTGCCAATGGAAGCTTAAGCCCCAATAAGGAAGCTTAAGCCTCCAAAATACGCAAAAAGTCTCGGCCTATGGGCGCTTAAGCCCCTAACTCAGGGCTTAAGCGCGCTGGAAGAAGAAAATTCTGACTGGAAGATCGCACTTAAGCGCCCTACAGCGCGCTTAAGCGCGCAACGCGAATTCTGCAATCACCGTTCTAGGGGGCTTAAGCGCGATGAAGCAAGCTTAAGCGCCCCAGAAACCCAACTTAGGCCCATTCAAGGTGTTTCATCAAGATACGAACTCTTGACCTATAAAAAAACACCATTGGCAACCAGAAGAATAACTTTTACATTGCTAAACAACTCTTGGGTGCTCGGAGGCTGAAGGAACGCGGAGGAACATCAGATTCATGTTCGTGAGGGGCGGAGACGGATCAACGTCAAGTGTTCACTGGAGATATTGAAGATCCACCAATCACTTATGGAGTTTGGGGGAGCTTTTCTATTTTCTTTTGTTCTTGATTTTGCCATGTCCGGCTAGTTCTTTAAGTAGTTAGGGTTAGATGGATTTTAGTCGATTTATTATGCTTTGAATAATTCGTACGTTAATTTTCCTTTTTATCATGAATGAAGTTATCTGTTTTTAATGCTTTATATAGGCTTGAATCTTATATAATGACCATCGGTGAATGCATGACAATAGGAATGTTGGTGTGTGATCCATATCTGATAACTTCATCGTAAACGTTATGATTCTAGGGATAGACATAGGGTTTGCGTAATCTTTAAGATTCTTGAATTTAATGCTTGCATGCTTGGGGAATAACCGGGGAACTAGGGTTCTTCCAATATTGTAAAGGTTTTAGAGTAACAAGGGATTGAGCTCTAATAACATGCGAAAGAATTGATTAGATTGATACTAAGGACAATTAACATTAAGAAGGAATTCAAACGTAATAAGGAGATTAAATGAAATCGAACCCCTAGCTACGTTTTTATTTTATTAGTTAAATCACATCTTTAATTTCTTGTCTTTAATTCTTGCAAGTAATTAGCTTAATATTTAATATTTTAATTTTGCAATTCAAATCCTGTTTCCAAATACACTTTCGATTGTCCAACTAAGTTTGCGATAGTGAATTAGTGCTTGAACTGTAATCCTCGTGGGAACGATCTCTTACTTAATCATATATTACTTGTACGATCGGTGCACTTGCCGTGAGTAGCAACAAGTTTTTGGCGCCGTTGCCGGGGATTACTATTTCAACATTAATAGTAGCTATTAATTCTTTAGATTGGACCTTATTTTCTGTTATTTAATTTTCTGTTATTTAAATTCAGTTTTATTTTCTTATTTTATATAATCTATTTTTCTGGTTTATGCGAGGAACCGTTGACACCGATTCCTTGCAATTCGACCCGGAGATAGAGAAAACAACAAAAAGAAACAGAAAACTTGCTAAAGAAAGAAGACAGCAAGAGAAAGAAGCTTCAAGCTCAACAGAACCAAAAGAAGAAGCAATGAGAGACAACAATGTACCTCCACCACCTCCGAGAACATTAGGAGATTACATGACTCCTGCTCGAGTTCCACAGACGGCGAGCATTGTTAGACCAAACGTGGATGCTAACAATTTTGAACTCAAGCCTGCGTTATTGCAACTGATTCAGAAAGATCAATTTGCCGGAGGAAGCACGGAAGACCCTTACATCCATCTAGAAAACTTCTTGCTATACTGTGATACCTTGAAGATGAATGGGGTGTCTCGGGATGCTATTTTGCTCAGATTGTTCCCTTGTTCACTTAAAGATGATGCGAGAGGATGGTTGCAGTCATTACCTCAAGGAAGCATCACCAACTGGGACGACTTGGCAACAAAATTTTTAGAGAAATTTTTCTCATCTTCGAAAATGGCAAAGCTCAAGGCGGATATCACTTCTTTTGAACAAAAAGAAAGTGAATCTCTATATGAAGCATGGGAAAGATTCAAAGGACTACTCAGGAAGTGTCCCCAACATGGCATTGAAGCCTGGGAGCAAGCGAGAACTTTCTTCCAAGGGATGACACCCAACACAAGAACATTGGTGAATGCTGCATCGGGAGGGTCCTTAAAAACAAAAACTCCAGAGGAAGCCTTGGAATTACTAGAGTCTCTAGCCTCTCAGGAGGATGATAATGCTCCAGTACCACAGAGAAGAGCGGGGATTATGAAGCTTGATGGCTATGATGCCATCTTAGCTCAGAATGAACAGATTTTACAAATTAACAAGAAACAACAAGAACAACTAGATGCTCTCACAAAGCAATTTACCAGTTCTCAAGTCTCTTCTGTTAATAATATTCAAATAACTTGTGGTATTTGTGCAGGTGCTCATGCTACTGAAGACTGCGGGGCACCCGAAACTGCAGATGTTAATGGAATTTGGCATGATAAAAAAGCTCCATATAATCCAGGGAGGAACCAATACGGCAATAATCAAAATCAAGGGTGGAGAAATAAAAATCAAAATCAACACCCGAGATTTAGTTACAGTTCGAACCATCAGCTGAATCCTCCTATGCCAGTGCAACAGCAACCTCCACAACAATCAGAATGGGAAAAGGCCTTTGCACAACTATCCAAGACCACATCGGACTACATTCAAAGTTCCAATAATTTCATAGAGGACACCTCAGCCTTTATGCAAGAGACAAGGGCCTCATTCCGGAATCAAGAAGCTTCTATCCGGAATCTTGAAACTCAGATTGGCCAGCTATCAAAGCAGTTCACTGAAAGAGTTCAAGGAACTTTTCCAGGTAACACTATTCCAAATCCAAGTAGGGAACACTGCAATGCGATTACTACTATGAGTGAGAAAGCCATTGAACCTGTGGTAAAGCCTTCAGTTGAGAAAAAGAAAGATGATGAACTTGCAACTGAAAAGGAAAAAGAAAAGGAAGTTGCCAAAGAATTTGCTGCAGAGAAAACTGTTCCTGAAAAGAAAGAGTTCAAATGGGAGAAAAAGAAAGCTCAAGAAAGGCAAGAAAAGCCATTGGAGCTCTCACCTTATGCAAAGATTCCATATCCGCAGAGGTTCAGAGAGGAAATCAAAAAGCAGCAGTATTCCAAGTTCCTTGACATTTTCAAGAAGCTGCAAATCAATATCCCGTTTACTGAAGCCTTGGAGAACATGCCCAATTACGCAAAGTTCATGAAAGATCTTCTATCGCGAAAGCGTAAGCTACAAGAATGTGAGACGGTGACTCTGACAGAGGAATGCAGTGCCATTACCCAGAAAAAGTTGCCTCCAAAGCTTAAAGATCCAGGAAGATTCAGCATTCCATGCAACATAGGCAATATGGAAGTGAAAAATGTTCTATGTGATCTCGGTGCCAGCATCAACGTGATGCCACTATTTATGATGAAGAAACTGGGGATCACTGAAGTAAGGCCAACCAAGACAATAGTTCAATTGGCTGACCGTTCTACAAAGCAAGCTTATGGCATTATTGAGGACATACTGGTAAAGGTTGACAAATTCATCATTCCTGTTGATTTTGTCATCCTTGATATAGAGGAAAATTCTACTATTCCTATGATCTTCGGAAGACCTTTCTTGGCAACCTCAGGAGCGCTGATTGATGTACCGAAATGCGAGTTGATCTTACGGGTAGACGTGGAGCAAGCAATTTTCAAGTTCTTTGATAAAGAAGTTCCCTCACCTATAATTCAACCGGAAGATCAAGTCTACTATATTAGTGAAAAGAAAGGAGAAGAAGAGCACAAAGAGAATTCTTCTCAAGAAAGTAAGCCAAAGGTTAAAATGGAGAAGCTCAGGAGCAAGGGAAAACACGTAAACACAAAATTCAAAGCTATTGAGCCTACTTCATCTCACTCATATGCACAAGAGTACTATGGGAGGACACCATTTCTGAATGATAGAGCTTGGTCATCACCAAGCCCATGCTTTGAACCACCATGAACATAAAAGAGGTACGTCAGGCTCGGTACGTAAAACAAGCGCCTCTGGGAGGCAACCCAACTATATTTTTTATTTTCCAACATTTTAGTATAGTATTTTAAATTTAGTTTAGCTTATTTTAATTATTCTTAGCATAGTTTATTTTAGTCATATCATAAAAATCAAAAAAAATAAAAACATTGAGGTTAATGATCAAATTCTGTTGAGATGGACTTTCAGGTGTAAATGCATCTGAATATAAATCTGGGAATTGTTATGTGGAAATTGCACTAACTTTGCAAACATGTTGGATACTCGAATACTAATGCTGATATGGTTGCAGACACTACACAGGATGCTGATAGAAATGATATTGCACCCACTACTGAAATTGATGAGGATTGACCATTGTCTCAATGTTTAGATTTTTTTTCTTTTGTTGATTTTAGTTCATGTTGGTATGAGATGTATATTGAGACTGATCCTGACATGACTATGATATTTTTTTGGATATATGACATGCTGACGTAGTTTCCTTATCTGTGACATGTGTGCA